AGACGATGCATAACACAACCCTCAGCCATTTTCTAGGGGGTGGCAGGTTGAGAGGTGGAGGAATTGTCCTGGCAACCTGGGCTGGACGTTTTGCTGTTGTGACAGTTTCTTCCTGCTGTCGTCAGCCAGCTGGAGTGTAATCCTGGAGATCTGCTGGCCGAGCCCACAGTGGCTCCTCAGTGGGGTGACTGGGCTCCCACTGCTGGGTCATCGCGATACTATCTGCAGGGGAGGGAGGAGGAGGAAGGAGGAAGGAGGAAATAGAGCCCCAACCCGTGGAGAGGGAGGGGACTCCTCTCAGACAGCTGAGCTGGGTCCTGGAGCCCTGAGCGCTGTGGCTGGGTGTGTGGGTGTGTGTGGGAAGTCGGACCTGAGGGGAAGCCCAGGTGCTGAGAAGGCTTTACTGAAAGCCGCCTTCTGCAAGTGCTTTTGTTTTGCCTGGGGACAAATTTGTGCTGGAGAGAGGCATTGTCTGGAGAGTCTCTCATGCTGAGACCTGCACCTGTCAGGGGTGAGGGGGAAGCCAGCAGGAGTCCCCAGCAGGAGACCAAGGCAGAGGGGAGGCTGCTCTGCCTTCACCCACACCTCCAGCTCTGCCCTCTCAGATCACTTGTTTGAAATCTGAAACCCTTCCCAGAGAAGATAAATCACTTCCTTGCTGGGTGTCCCTCTGCTATAGAAAGGTATTTCAGGTTGTGTTAAAGCCCTTCACATTGCTTACAGTCACTCATCCAGAGCAGAAGTGCTATTCCTGAATGGCAGCAAGCTTTCACTGAGTGCTCCTGCGTGCGTGACACTGCCTCTGGTGCTAGCATTTGGGCAGCCCCCTCCCTGCCATCAGGCCCAGTGACCCTGGGCTCCTCCCCTTCACTTGAGGGGCCATTTTTGAAGGCATTGGCCCTTGTGCTTGGAAACCCACTGAGGAAAGCAATGGGTTACAGAGGTGATTTTGTGAGGAGAGGAGGGGCCACCACAGTGGAGACCTTACAGGGAGAGGACTCTATGAACACCTGAGAGCAGAGAAGGATGGGGGTGCAGAAGTGAGAGAGACACAGAAATGTCTCCATCCTGGGTCCTCTTCTCCTCTTGGTGCTTTTTGATGCCATTTCTTCGAAGGGCTGGGGCTTCAATTCTCCAGGCAGATTCTGGAGCCATGGCTTTTTGCAGATGTTTTTCTTTTCTCTTGGAGGGCAGAGGTCCCTGACACTTCTTCCTGTTCCCTAGCACCTGGTGATACAGGCTCCAGAAGTGTTTGCCAAGTTGAGTGAAACTAGAACACTGAGAGCATGGGCCACCACTAGGAGGCACTTTTGTCTCATCTGCCTTGAGTCCTGGCCTCCTCTGTGGGGAAGGGGGATGGGACACTTTCTGATAGTGAGTAGAGGGGGAATCCCAGGTAGATGCTCTGGAGGGGACTTGCCTAGGCCTATGAGTCTGTGTCCAGGCCTGAGCTGTGACATTCTGCTATTGCGATGATGTTAGTGATGGTTCCAACGTCTTCCCTTCCCCAACAGACACTCCTGAGGGGCCTATGCACTTTGAAACTAAAGTCTCAAAGATGTGGTCACCAGGCCAGAGTCCTCCAGTGAGGGAAGGCACCGTCTTTATTTTTACCCCAGCCAAACACCTAAGTGGGGTGAAGGCTTCAGGTAGTCTTCTGTGGGATAGAGGTGGTCAATCTCCTCAGTATCTGTCTTTGCTGACTCTGGGCTAAAGCTTCCCTGTCATTTCCAGAGCTCTGAGGTATTAGTCAGTAGAGAGCTTAGCTGGTTCCAGGCCCAGGTCCAGAGCAATGAAACTTCAAGTGGGAACTGAGGCTCTGCGGTTGACCCTTCCCCTCCCTTTTCCCCCAGTTTGTGGAGATTGATCTCTGAGTCACAGGCCCTGGGGGTGCGGGCTCCCAGCCACAGATCCATCTCCCCGGAGGTTCCTGGCCAGGCAGCCTTCCCCTCACAGTCCCATAGGCCTTGAGGATTCATTCTTGCCTGCCACCTACTGGACAACAGCCCATGTCCTGTGACTAAGGTGCGCCCTGCAGTTTTGTCTCCCTTGACCCTCTGCTTTTCACCTCCATGGAAATTCTCACAGCTATAACTTGGTAACTTGGCTCCCATCTCCTCCAACAATCTTATTGAGATGTAATTCTGCTCATTTAGAATTTAGTGGGTTTTAGTATATTTACAGGTTTTGTGCCTTCACCATTCTATTTTATTTATTTATTTATTTATTTATTCTGTATTTTTAGGGAAGGGTCTACAGGGTATTCAGGGTCTCACTACTAGATTGGGCTCATAGTAATCTGCCTATTTACAGCCTCCCAAGAGCTGGGACTACAGGCGCCACCAATACAGTCTCAATTGCCATCTCGGTGTGCCCTGGGGGGGTGGGGCCGGCATGGCAGGCCCGGGGATCGAACACCCAGCCCCAGTACCTGCTTGCAAGCACTTTAATCCGCTGAGCTATTTGTCTGTCCCTTCACCATTCAATTTTAGAATGCTGTCATGACTCCAAAAAGAAAATCCCCCCAACTCCCTCCTGTCAGCCTTGAGGTTACACCACTCAGCTTTCTGTCTCTACAGATTTCTTTGTTCCTGGACTTTCTGTGCATTACAATGTGAAATGGAATCATGCAATGAATGGTCTTTTGTGACCAGTTTCTTTCAGTTCTCTTAATGTTTTCAGACTTACTCATGAGGTAGCTTGTATTGGCTCCATCCCTTTTTTATAGTCAAAATATTCTATTGTATGGTTGTGGTGCATTTTGTCTATGCACTTTGTTCATCTGTTGGTGAGCATTTGAGCTGTCTCTTTTTTAGGTGCTGTGAATAATATTTTAAATTTGTGTGAGGGTATATTCTTTTCTTTTGGGTATAGACTCAGGGGCAGAATTTCTGGGTCATCTAATGGAAGATTTTGAGGCCTTACTTGGTTGTTCCCCACTGCGGTTGTTTTCTCTTATATTCCATATCCTGGGCCTGGGTACTGGACCTACTACCCCTGTGGGGCTATCTCATTCTAGGTGCAGGGGTGGGTGCTCTGTGTGACTGGGTGGGTGAGGTTCATCCCAACTCAAGGAGTCCCCATAAGGAGCAGAAAGCCCCTGAAGAGGGGCTGTTCCTAGGACCACTGAGACAGTAGGGAATGGTGTAGGGGACTCAGTGGTGGTGGACACATTCACTGCCACTGAGCTTTTCCTCCAGCTCTTGGGGTTCTTTATATGAGAAGAGGACATTGAATGTCTGGGTCCTTTTCCCATACTGGGCTGTCCCTTCTCGTCATGGCTTTCTCTAAGTCAATGGATTATTTCCATGCCTTGGAAATAATCCAGGATAGGGGGAATGGGCCAGGGCCTTGGGGCTGCTAAATCCTAATGTGATAGGGGTCCCATGGATTTTCTCTAGACTGTATGCAGGACCTCATGTCTGTAATAGTGGTGGTTTTAAATGCCACACATGATGTGAAAAGTACTGGGGTATGATGTGCAAGTTACAAATATAATTTGTATGGAGTCGTATATGCTCCACAGGTTGTTTGTAAATTATTTACATCATTTTCCCATTGCTATAGAAAGTTTTAATTCCATTCCTTAGCCTCCGGTCTTCAAAGGCTGCTCCTGATTTCCCTTGGACTTACTGTGTATCCTATGCAGAGCAGAGGCGAGTAATCTTAATTCTCACAGTGTGAACAGAGTCAGTTTATTGGTAACAGAGAGCCTGAGAGGTTCCCAGCAGAGAGATTGAATCCTGGAGTTAGGGTCAGCTCAGCATCCTCTCTTCCCTTTCCTGGCTCTAAACCATAGCTTCCAAGTTGCTAAGGTAGCTGTACAGACTATAGCAGGGAAGCCTGTGTGCCTATCAGACCCAAAGTCCCAAAATAAGAGGAACTAAAGGGGAAGGAGAGGAACTGGTTGGCTGTGTATAGTGGGGATGAAACTTGATTCTACTGAACAAATAATGTTGGTTCTTGATTTTCTGTCCGTCCCTGGGCCCTTGGCCTTTGTTCTAAACACTTCCCACCTTCATCTGGCAGTGTGAGCTCGGGAAACAAACTTATGTTCACAGTTTACGTTCAATATACCTGAGCAAGTCAATCTGTTGTCTTTTTTTTTTTTTTTTACCTTCAGAATCAGCATTTTAATAAGATCTTCAGGCAATCTGTATGTCTGGGCCATACCATTCAGAGATAAAGGATACAACAGGGGTAGTTAGTGGGGAAAAATATAACCACTGTTTTAGGTTTGGTCAGTTTGAAGTGTTTGTGGAACATCCAAAGAAGCTGATCCCCAGCAGAGGAGAATGTGGGTCTGAAGGCTAGAAATACGTCTGGTTTGAAGGTGCAGTTTAGTATTTATCGACCTGTGGTATCTGAAGCCTTGGTCTGACCCATTTCTTGGGATTTGCCCAGGCAATGTATATCCAGTTAGTCAGGCAGAGGGCTCAGGATAAAGCCCTACGAAACATTATTACTTAAGAGTCACACACAGCAAATATACTCCACATGAAACAGAAGGAACTTCCAGTGGTAGGAAGGAAGAAACAATGTGAGGAGTGGGACGAGTGTTCCAACTGGCAGGGTCACCAACAGTCTCACTTTCCAGCAGAGGTCACATAAGGATAGACAAGTGTCCATTGGATTTGGTAATCCTGATGTCAGAGGAGAGTTAATGGGTGGAGATTATTTCCCATTAAGTTCTTTCTTGACCTTAGTATGTGGGGATGCAATTTATAGATTCTGCTTTCAAAGTTCAGATGCGCAGAGCATGTGGAAGGAGCTTGGTGTGGAGTCAGCTTGCAAAGGTTCTCTCTTCCACTTTACAGTGGGCCTTCAATTGATCCTTCCAGCCACATTCAATTAATTTAGCTCACAGCAACTCTTTGAGGTGTTCTCTTTCTCCAGTTTCTATTAACTTTTGGTTAATCGCTGCTCTCATCTGCGCATCTTTGTTCATCTTGCTAACCACACTCTTCCGGCTGCCCAGACTTAGACCCTCCGTCAATCTGTTGTCTTAAGGACACCTCTTGAGTTTCGTGCCAGTAGGACACTATCAGATCCTGAGTGATCCTGAAACTTTTACTTTTGGAAATCAGGGTGGTATTTGGGAGATGTTTGTATTTGCAATAGAGCATGTCTCCAGGGGGTTGGGAGCTAAAAGAAGTTCACTTTTCTTGGGTGCAGGAGAACCAGAGGGAAGAGAGGTGGGGAGCTGCGGTGGGGTGGGAAGGAATGGCTGGCTTTGTGGGAAACTGCCAGGGACCTCCTGCAAAGCTGAATTGTGATGTGTCCACTCAGCCTGCTCATTCTCTTGGCCATGGTAGGGCTGACGCCCACCAGAAGTAGTGCATCCTCTTTCTCTGTATCCCACCCTATCCCAGGGCCTCCTTTGGGGTCTTCACCCAGTTACATGATTTCCCAGTGGAAATCTCAGGGGAATCTGGAGTCAGTATGGGAAGGTGGGCTTTCGAAATAGTGACACCCAGGAATTGTCCCCTGAATTACCAGCCTTTGGGTCAGTGCTAACACTAGTGGCCACAGGAGCTGCCTCCAGCCCCCAGCTTCATGCTGGAGGTCCTCCTGTTTCCACAACCCACAAGCCCCTGGGGCTCGCAGGGGATGTAGAGTTCACCAGTGGTCACCACGCTGCAGCCCCCACTGCTCCTCAGGATGCCGGTGCTCCCTGTGCAGTACTCGGGCCTCAGCATAGGCGTGCTGACCACACATGGCTCGTATAGGATGGCACCTTTGGAACTGCTCACGGCTGTGGGGACAGGGAATGAGACTCAGGGCCCTATCTTATGTAACTCTGAGACAGCAGTCCTGAAACATCTCAGCCAGGCCATTACTCTCACCTGTTGGCACTCACCTTCAAAGATACCCCATCCTAGGTACCACCTCCAAATCTTCCCATCCTCACCACATCCAGGACTTGGAAATACCCCTAGTTCTCCCTTTTCCCTGGAGGCTTTTTGAGGCCAGGCCTGATGTCTGCTTCTCTCTTTCTATGTCTCTCATGAGCCTGCTTCAAACCCTTGCACTCTAGCAAAAAACACTCTTGTCAGGGCAGCTCCTGGAGACTTTGGGAACCATGCTGTGCATACGTTCATAGTTTCAATTCCCCAAAGATATGGATAGCCCCAACAGAGAACTTCTTTATCAGCCCAGGACTCGCAACAGACAAGGCCCTTCCTGCCGGGTAAGGAGGCCCCTGAGACCTGGGCTTTTGTGTTGTGCTGATCAACTCCTGAGCCCAAGACCTCTGGGATGTGGCTGATCTACTTACAGATGTTCACGGGCCCAATGCCTTCACACAGCCTGGGAAGAAGAAGGAGAAGGCGACTGTATTAGAGAGATTCAAGGAGCACCTCCCTTCTTCTATTGTCGTCCTACAGAGGAGGAGGACTCAAGCCCCTGAGCCTTCTGAGTTTTCCTTGATTGGTGGCTCAGCAATAGCCTATAAGTGCCAGAGAGCAGATGCCCTGGGGCCTCTCCTCTGTTGAGCCTACCTGTGCTCCTCGCCCTCCAGCAGGCGTCTGTAGGTGGCGATCTCGATGTCCAGGCCCAGCTTGGAGTTCATCACCTTCTGGTACTCCTTGAGCAGGCAGGCCATGTCCTGCTTGGCCTTCTGAAGGGCCTCCTCCAGCCCTGCCAGCTTGCACTTGGCATCGTTGAGGGCCGCCTCACCCTGCTGCTCCGCCTCAGCAATGGTCCCCTCGAGTTTGCAGCGCTGGAAGGGAGGGCATAGCAAGACATCACATAGGGGCCCAGAACCCTGAGCCAGATCCTCAGAATAGCAGGGGGAGCACATAGTGGTAACTGTCAGGCCCAAAAGTGCTGTGTGTTTCACCCTAAGAGTGTGACGTCTGGCTCCTCCTGGTAAGTGGAAGCCATTTTCTGTCTAAAGCATTGGAGGGGCACCTGAGACTTTCCTTTTAGCTATGTTCAGCAATTAAGAGGGTGGATGGGTTGGTTGGGGTTGAATAGATTTTAAATGCCCGGCTGCTCTTCACTAGCTTAGGAGACTAGAGTGGGTCTGATACAAGCACCTCAGGGTCACTTCGTAATTCACAGTTAGAGGTTTAAAGTCTGGGTTCGAAGGGACCATGGAGAACATTTTTCCTCTACCCTCTGCGACTTCATCTCAAACACTAGGTCACATGGCTGCTGTTGGGGACCTGGCTGCTCCTGAGGCTGCCCATTGCCACTGGTAGTGGTCCACTGGTATAGACAGAGCTTGCCTCCTCCCAGGCAAGATGGCACAGTTTGTCCCCTTGCCAGCTGTGCTCCCTGGGGGCTTGGGCCTCCCATATCATGCTGCTCTCTCAGTCAGGGTCCCATCGGCCCCTCTCCTCTCACCTGGGCCTTCACTGTCTCAGTGTCTTGCTGCAGCTGCTGGATCAGCTTGTTCATTTCCAGGATCTCATTCTTGCGGCTGCGGAGGTTGTCGCTGTGGTTTCCAGCTGTCATCCTCAGCTCCTCGAACTGCCGGGACATAGAGGTGGGAACACCAGGACACCGTGGTGCTGCCCAGCCCCTGTCTCACTGTTCCCAGGCTCTTCTCCCATGACATCCCTACTCCTTCCGCCTCTCTGGCTTCATCTACCTGGCCTGCTGCCCATCCCCCACTCACTGCTGCTCAGGATTGGGGCCCTGACCTGGCTGCTCGCCTTCCCATCTCACCCTTCCGCCTAAGCCTCAGGCTTGTTAAGTTTCCTTCCAAGCTCTAAGGCCTTTTCTCTCTGCCACAGATCCTGAGGGTTCTTTCTCTCTTGGATGCCGCTGTGGACCTCAGCAGTGGTTTCTATGTGCAGGCTGCAATAGTTACGGACCAAGGACACAAGAGTGCAAGGTGAGGTCCTACCTGGGCCTCATGCTTTTTTTCTTTTTAGCCTTTTGACTTTAAATCCAATTTCTAAAGAGTATAAATTACATTTATAGAATTTTTAAAAATCATCCAACTGTAGATTTTCTGACAGTTTGTGGGGGCATACTCAACGGGATGCCGGCATGCTCTTTGGCTCTTTCGTTATGTGTTTACTGTGGGAAGCCAGAAGTTGTCTGATTAATATCCACTCTTCTTCTTTAAAACAGAACTCTGTGAGTCCAGATAAAAGAGTATTTCTTGGCCTTCTCATCAAAGAGATCCATTACCACTGTTGGGTAGAGCTTCTAGGAAAGCTCTCTAAGTGAGAAGTGACTCAGTTGGCATGTTTCTTCGTGTTTCTCCTTTTCTCCTGCCTAACGCGAATGTGGATATTGCAGCTCTCTTGGGATATGAGGCAACAGGGAACATGAACCCACATGTTAAAGATGACAGAATGGATAGGTAGATATCTCCTGTGTCATGCTGGGCAATATATTTTTGTACTTTGTTATCTGAGAAAAAAATTAAAAATTGAATTTGTTTTAAAAGCTTCTTATCCTTGTTGTTAAATAAAATCCTGAACAAACAGAAATTGTCTTTACTATTCTACAGTTTTTTTTTGGGGGGGGTATTGGGGATTAAACTCAAGACCTTGTGCTTGCTAGGCAGGTGCTTAAGCCACTGAGCTATCTCTCCTGCCCTGTCCTTACCATTCTGCAGATATACAAATGAGTTCACATTCCTGGAGCCCACCTGACTGGTGGGTGGCCCAGGGGCAGCCAGAGGAGTAGCCTGCTGGGGGCCACCTGGCCCAGAGATGGCCACACCTGAGCCAGTGGGGCTGACTTCTGCCACGTTTGCAACTTCTGATCTCCCTAGATCTTCAGACCACAGACAGGGTGTCACTAGAGGCACTCCGTGCGCAGCGGCCCCCGTGACTCAGGGAAAAGCCCCAGTATTAGCACAGCTCTGCAGAGATGCTGGACCCAGCCCCAGGCAGCCTGTGTAGTCCGACCTCCCTCATAGCACATGGCACACTGAGCATCACACTTTTATGCCTTGTGTCCTGGCTTTGGTGGAGTGCCAGCCTGGCACACTTTTCTTTCAATCTGTGCTTACTGTCACTTCCCTGTCCTTCAAGAGCAGATCAGATGACAATGCCTCTATTTCCAGACAATTTGTGTTTTTTGTCCTCGACTCCCTGGACCTGCTGCCCAACCTTGGCATACTCCTTGGACTTAGGTTTGGTTCATTGCCCCCCTCACCACCCCAGTAATCTTACCGAGAACACCGGTGGTCCAAGCTTTGGGATCCTCAGTGCCGCACATCTTCCCAGGCTCCCCTCTCTGATGCTCACAGTCTCACAGCACCCCTTATCCCGCCCACTGGTTTATGTTCTCAGTAGCATGCATTACCCTGTTCCATGAAGCCACTGGCTTTGTTTCTTGTCTATTCCCCTCAACCCAGAACACCAGGACAGGAATTGCTCTGTCTTTTTCCCTGCTGAATCTCCAGCCTCTAGCCCTGAGCTTGGCACATGGTAAGTGTCCAACAAACAGCTGCTGGTGAAGGCACTAACCAGTAATGATCAGATGCGAGGTGGCTTTTGTAGGCAGGGCAGTGGGACTGGGATGATAATATTTGTTGAATCAAATTGCCCTGAAGGCTCCCTTTGCCTCCCAGCAAGCTCCTAATTACTAAGTCTGGGCCACTTTAATCACTGTCTCTACCCCACCAGTAGTCATCACCCCATGCTACTAGCTTCCTCCCTCGCCTTGAAGCCTGGAGGTTCCTTTGCCATCATCTCCAATTATAGTCCTAGATGCTGTTTAGAGGAATACCTGATGAGTCTGCAGGTAAATATGCAGGGGTCCCCACGCTCGAGTGATAGGCCTGCGCTATCTGTTGTAGCTTCTTCCCACACAATCTGCAGGGACCTGGCTTGAGGCCCAGTGGAAACAACAGATTGGGGTTTATGGGATTCCCTGATGCCGTGCTGTGGCTACCGTCTTCATTAGCCATGTTCCCATTACTTCCTGGGGCAGAGGGCATCTAGGGATCCCCTCCCATTCCTTTCCTGCACCTCCCCTGGCTCTAGTCTTGCCCTCTGCATTCTAGCCTTACCCGGCGCCGGTACCAGGCCTCCATTTCGGCTTTGCTGCGTCTGGAGATTTCCTCGTAGTACATCTTGATCTCAGCGATGATGTCATCCATGTCCAGATCCCGGCTGTTGTCCATCTGCACGATGACTGATGTTTCAGAGATCTGAGACTGCAACATTGCAATCTCCTGGAGAGAAGAAGGGATGAGAAGATTGGTCAGGAAACAGGGAGGGAGAGCCTGCTCTAACCTCGCCCCATGGTACATTTGCGCAGGACTGGGCTGTGACTGTCCCCAGACTTCCGTAGTCAAGGTGTACCTTGTCCCCTTCCTTTAGTGGCTGAGCTTACTTGGAGGGGCCTGAGATCCGAGGAGCTAGACAGGCCGCCTTCTGCTTACCTTACTCTCTGAGTACCAGCCTTCTTGCTGGAGCACAGCACATGTACCCTGTCCCCCAGCTCCACTAGCACAGCCCCTGGCCCACCACCTAAAAGTCAACATGGCTGTGGGTACCTCTTCAAACAAGTTTTTCAGGAAGTTTATTTCCAGCTCGAGAGCCTCCACGTTGGTCTCCAGGTCAGCTTTCACCAAGAAGGCTGTGTCCACATCCTGCAGCAGGGCAGAGAGGAACCACACCTCAGGGCTGGGGGCTTGGAGGGGCCATGCCTCCTTCAGCGAGGCCCACCCCCGGCCAGCTGGCAGCGGGTGGCGAATGTGGGCCACCTCTCCTCACGGAGGGCCATGCGAAAGTGCAGGAAGTGATGGAGCTGTGGTGGGAGACAGGTCCCCAGCCCTGGGGGTGTACCTTTAGGGGCAGGGGTGGAAAGGGAGGAGCCTTAAGTGTGGGTTCTCAGAGCTTCCTTTGCAGAACTTCGCCTGGAAATATCTGGTTACTTATCTGAGGAATCATGGCAACTGTTTTCGTCTGTGAGGATTTGAATCAGAGCTTTGTTTGTCTGTGCCTTCATATTAGCCACACTTTCAGCTGGTTGGGCAGGTGTGGACACTCCCCCAATCTAGTTTTGGGTCATAGGAGTTGGGGGTGAGGCAGGCTTGGTCATCTGCCCCTTTGCAAGGCAGCTGGGGGATGGAGGAGACTGGCCTTCTTTTCTCCTAGAATAATGGAGCTGGCTTGGGAGGCTGAGTAGAAAGGATCCTTAGGTGAGTGGGTAAGCTGTGGACACATCTGAACACAGTCCCACAGCCCTCCTCCTTGTGCCTCCTCCTCACCTTCTTCAGGGCGACAAACTCATTCTCAGCACAGGGGCGCAGGGAGAGCTCTTCTTCGTACCTAAGAGGATGATGGAGTTTTAGTTGGGTGTGTGGGGTTTGGAAGGGATCTGGGAGTGGGCCCTTGGGGGCCCCTATGCCCTCGATGCCTGCCTGCCCTGGACACCTGCTCTTCATTCTCTGCTCAAGACAGGTGATTTTTACCAGTGCTTCTTACAGCACCTTCCAAGCTCTGCCCTCCCACTCCCGTTTCTGTGGTGAGTCATCCTCCAGGAAGTCCTCCTTGAGGCTACCTGTGGTCCCTCTTGCTGTGGAGGAAGCCCTCTCAGCTTATTTCCTCTGGGAACTTGAAAGAGGGTGTACTGTGGGCCTAGTCACCTTTGCCATGTTGTTCTGAACTGGCTGCAGTCCCTGCAATTGCTTGTGCAAACAGTACCAAGCCTGGCCCCACTGCAGCCCAGTGGCAGAGGTAGCAATTAGCTACATTACTAGACTCATAGAGGCAGCCTAACTATGTCCCCAAGGTCCATGGCCCACACACTGCTCCCCTGAGGTACAGGGATCAGGGTTGGGGTTCACCCTGACTAGGGTGATTCATTTGGTGAGCAGTACCCATCCATTAGAAGGCTTTCTATGCTTCTGGATGCCTCTTTCTCCTTTTCCTAGCAGAGTCTTCCAAGAACTAACACTGGGACCCAGAACTTACTGCCCAGCTTTGAATTCCTCCCATCACTTGCTCATCATGGGCAACTGGTTGAGGGACTTAACCTCTGTGCCTCATCTCTTACCTGTCACTATCTGCTGGAGTTGTCCCCTCACTGGTAGACTCTGGCCCCTCTTTGTCATCTACTCCCTTCCAGTCTCATTTCTGAGGTCTACACTGGATTCCCCTTTGGGAACAAACCATTGCAAAGTTTGTTCCCTTATCTTTCAAGGCCCCAAGCCAATGGCACCTGCCCTGGGAAGCCCTCCCCAGCGCACTCTGTTCAGCCTGTCTCCAGACTCTTCTCTCCGTGCTGTTCCACTTACAGGTGTTCACATTTCAGTGCAGGTGGCTTGTGTGGACTGGGCTGCAGCATCTTTAGGAAGGGGCCACCTTCCCTTTGTAGAGTATCAGTACTTCCCAGTGCAGTGCCTGGCACTAAGAAGGGCTGTGGTTGACACCCATGGCATGAATGTCCCCAACATAGCTCGATTTTACTGCCACATCCTCTGCAAATTGCTGCTCTCAGTATACTTACAGTTTCTCCCTAATGGAAATACATCCATCTCAATTTCTCCTAACAGAATGCATTCCCTCAAGGTGCTGTTCCCAGGGCAGACCCACCTAGGATTCCCCAGGACCCCTCAGGGGACAGCTAATCTGGGCCTCAGTCCCTTGTAACCATTGGAGCTACTTGCTTGGTGACTCTTCATTAACACACAGTCACAAGCCACCTGCTCCAGGCTGTGGTCAGACCTAGGGCTTCGCTGGGGAGGGGACGTGGGGCAGGATGGATAGTGCAAATCTCAAAACACTGAAGATGGACACAGAATGAGTTCAAGTCCCTGAGAATGAGGGGTGGAGGCGGGTGGATGACAAAGATCTAAGATCATTTCCAGCTGTGTGACAGGAAGGGATGGGGAAGCCAGAAGTCAGGGATGAGGACAAGCGAGCTTCCCGGGTGGGTGAGGGGAAATACTCAGAGGGCTTATCAAGTGGAAGGAGAAGCAGGCACGGAAGCCTGGTGGGAAGAGTTGCAGGGATCCAGTGGGGAGCAGGAAATGGTTCTGGGTGTGCAGATGGAAGGTGAGGCAGAACAGGCAGGTAGCTTGGAGCAGGCATTGGGCCCTTAAAAATGGCAGCTAACAGAGTGTGCTTTACATTGAGAGGTTCTGAGGGCCCTCACTAGGCAGAGGAAGGGGGAAGGCGGTAAAGACAAATGCAGAATCACAGAACTGCGCGTGCCATCTATGTGATACATGGTGTGCTCAGCCTACATTATCCCACTTGATTGTTCTTCCTCTGTGGAGCCTGGCTTACCATTTACAGATGGGAAACCAAGGCCCAGATTCTGTGTCTTGCCCTAGATCCCCTCAAGGGATAGAAGCAGAGCCAACTCACTTTTTCTTGTAGCCCTCCAGCGTATCCTGGACACTGCTGAGCTCTGCCTCCAGCCTCGCATGCTCTCCGGACATGCATTCCAGCTCCCTCCGCAGGGTGCAGATGTAGCTCTCAAAGAGGGGCTCCATGTTGCTCTGGCAGCACCTCTGCTGCTGCATGAAGTTCCACTTGGTCTCTAGCAGCTTGTTCTTCTGCTCCAGAAACCGCACCTGCAGCCAAAAATGAGGCCTCACCAGGAAGTAGGGGCCCTGGACCCCTGCCTCGGAGACGGCAGTGGGATGATTTGGTGCCCTCTCCCAACACTAAGATGTGCAAAAGTTAAGGTCCACAGAGATTGGAACTTAAGGGCATCTCTGGGTCTCTTCTGCCCCGGAAGCACTTGGAGGACCCCCCCCCTTTCTATTTGGGTTGCACATAGTAGAATGCTGCTGTCCAAGGCCTGGGGAAGGTCCACATTCCAGCCCTGCCTCCTTGCCTCTGGTAGACTTATGGCTTTGATCTTGGGCTCCCTCTTGTCCCTAAAGAGTCTCCGTGGGATGTATTCTACAGTCCTGCCCACTAATTCCCTGAGAACCCGTGGTTCCTTTTTTTTGCAGTCTCCAGAGCACTCAGGGCACAAGCTAACACCAAGGATTGTATTTGGGGCCTGCTGCTCTTTTCACCTGCTCTGTCCCAATCCACATGGCTGCCTCTAAGAACTACAGGTCGAAGTGTCACGGGTAGCCACTGGAACATCTCCAGTTTTGTGTATTGCACCGAGATGAAAAGAAATCAAATGAGTTGTCCCCACTACTTTGTCACTAGCAAAGGGACCATGGCCTCCAGTCCTTGCCCTGGGATTTCCATATTGAGCCTTGCTTCTTGAGATAGCTGCAGAAGGACCATTGCCCTACTGCTGGTGAGCACCACCTCAGTGGAGGCACCTATTGTCCCTGAAAGGGGATGGCATTGTCGATGGCCAGGGTCCACATCCTTGGAATGGGCCTATAGCCAGAAATTTGTAATGTTTAAAAATAAAATTGTAAAAAACAATAAATAAAAATAAATAAAATTGTAAGTGAACAAGATCTTTTGTGAAGTGGATTTTTACAGATTATCTCCTCGAATTCTCCCACTCTCTCTCACCCTCTTCTCCATGAGGGTATAGAATCGTCAGGGCTGCACAGAGAGTGGCTTACACAGGGATTCAGGTCACAGGAGCGGAGCCAGCCCTAGGGCCAGGACACTGACTTACGTCCCAGCAGCCTTGGGGTCACCAGAAATACCACCTCAGCTCTCCAATGAATTATAACTCCTTCAAGAGCCTCACTGAGGGCAGAGGGAGACAGGCCTGTGGGCTGCTCATGGATGACAGACTGGCTCAGTGCCCTTCAAGGTAGCCCATGGCCCTTCTCTGAGGCCTTCTGGAGGTCTGGATCTAGAGTTGACAGATATGAGACTCGGGCAAAGGCCACTTTGTGTCCCCTGCTCTGACTGCTCCATTTTTTTTCCTCATCCCAGTTTTAAGCTGATGGCAAATTTCAGGGTCACAAAATGTCCAAAATTCCTCCTTCAAACCTAAGTCTTGTGGCAGCGCAGGCACACAGAAGGTGGTTGGTCCTATGCTAAAGCGTCACCAGCAAGAGCCCCTTCAGACTCTGGTCGTCCTTTTCAGTATGCCTCTGAAAGTTTCTCTTACTGTCTGACTTAAGGTACCCTTGGTGATTTTCTCAGATATTATTAGGAGTGAAATGAGACACTAAAACCAGGATTGGGATGCAGAAATTTTCAGTGCTGTGCTTGCTCTAACCGGCTTTCAACGATGAATGCGCATGCAATTCTAGAGAGGCCGGTACACAGATGGCCGTTTCTCCACTGTCAGCACCTCTTGTCCTTGGGCACACACAGGTATCTCTGTGGTGGATTTTGCACCTCCTGCCCTGATGCCCTGGGCCCTCCCTCTTACCTTGTTGATGAAGGATGCAAAGCGGTTGTTGAGGCACTTGATCTGCTCCTTCTCATCCCTTTTCACCCTCTGTACCGTTGGGTCAATCTCCAGGGTCAGTGGGACTAGAAGACTCTCGTTAATGGTGACAGGGGTGATGCAAGCAGACGGTCCACAGGTGGCCCCTGCTCGATACCCGAAGCCAGGCCCACTACACCTAGAGGCCACCCGAGGCCTGCCGAAGCCCACATTGCACAGGCTCCGGGAACCAAGGCAGCCCAGGACTCGGAGCCCCCCGCCACTGCTAGGCCAGCACGGCCCCTTGTTTACTTCACAGTGGGTGACCACCCGGGGCATGACAGCGGACCATGAGCTGAAACTCCGACTGCCACACCTGGAGCCCATCTGTAAGGAGCGGCACGACATGGCAGGAGTGAGAGGCAGAGAGACGGAGCCCTGGAGGAGAGAACAGGGACAGGAATGACCAGGTTGTGGCCCAGCCTCTCTTTTATATGGTAGGGGGCTGGGGGCTGAGCTGGGTCAATCTCCCAATCACCAGTAAATCAGGTTTATGAGCTTGGGATATTAGCAGCTGCTAAGTAGCAGGGTAGATAATTAGGGTAGCAAAGAGCAGGAGCTAATGGTCAGTGCTGGTGGGTCCTATAAAAGTTCTGTTTGCCCTCTTTCCTTGTTTACAGGGGTAATGAAAGGGGGCAGCCAGAATGCTATACTTGGCTTAGCTGGTGGCTCAGCCTTGAGGAAAGGGAGAGTGGGATTTTATCATTTCATGGGAGGGAAGGGGCCGGAATTATATGCACTGAATCCCCTGGGATTAGAGAGCACAGAGACATGCTGAGAGTGCTCGATATGCCCAAGCCTATCTCTGTGTCTTCCCCCAGGTCCTCTAGATGCAAGAGTCCCTGTGAGCTCCTTGGTAGGCCCAGAGGTTCTCAAGGCAAAAAAAGGCTTTGGGGCAAGAGAAGTCTTCCTTGCATTGGCTGGACCTTGTCCTTCCTCAGGATTATGGAACTCTGGGTCTGTTGCAACTGCCCCTGCCCTGGGACTCTGTGTTGTTGCCTGGAATCCCTGAGTAGATGGAGCCTATGCTGGCCTGCAGACATCTCTGGAGACAGCACCATGCCCACAGGAATGCTGTAGGTGGATGTGGGATTCCGGCTTTCTTCCTAGCACTCTGTTATAGACACAGGTCTTTGCAGATACGTGCAACCCCTCTCCTGCCTTTTTCTCCTCTTTTTTTTTTGGTCTGTCCCAGCAGTGCAACCTCTGTGGGGATGACTGGCCTTGCCCATGCACTCTTTGTTTTCAGAACAAAATCAAGGCAGTGATAATCAGTCAGTGGCACTGACTGGAGATTTATTACATGCCAGGCCACCCTGAATGCATCTATTATCTCATCGAATTCTTAGGATGGCACTATGATGAAGTTACCATTTTACAGATAAGGAAAATGAGGAGAGAATAGTGAACAGCTACGTCCTCAAGTTGCTTAGTTTGTCAGTGTTAGGCTAGGGTTGGATTCGTACCTTCTGACCTTACTATGCGCTGCCTGAGGTAGAGTTGGTGAATCTGCTGCCTACATGTTTTATCCTCCTCTCCTTTCCTGCCTGTAGATTGGAGACTGGAACTCAGATGTGCTTATGCCTTGGAAAGTCTCAGTCTAATGATGCCATTTCACATGGTTCCCCTTTGTCTTAGTTTTGGTGTGGGTTGTGAAGATTGCTTTGGATTGGATTGAGGTTTGTCATCAGTGACCTGCGAGGTGGTGGGAAGCAGAGGCAGGGATGGGCCGGAGTGCTGTCACAGTCACCTTTTCCACCAAAATATCTAACATCTGCAACATGAAGGAGGGGAGGTTTATTTGGCTCTGGTTTCAGAGGATCCAGCCCATGGTGAGCTGGCTCCCGGGAAGAAACACCATGGTGGAACAGCTTAGCAGAGAACGACATCCAGGATTCAGAGAGGAGAGGAATTTCCAAGAGAAAGGGGTCAGGGACCAGCTGTAGTCTTCAAGGACACAGCCTGTTCTCTACGTTGGGAGGGCTGTAGCTGGAAATTGATCTTACGTGGGAGGGAGGGGCAAGGCCTCAGTGCCTAAAGCAGTCAAACTACCTCAGTCTTGAGAAAAACATCCTGCCTGGACAATTTTGACTATTAATTGCCAGGCTACCTTGTGTCTTCTTTTTTTAAATTTTTTTTTTTTTATTTTAGGATAGGGTCTACAAGGTCTCACTGTGTAGATTGGACTTGTAGGGATCCTCCTGTTTACAGCCTCCCAATTGCTGGGATTACAGACATGTGCCACCATGCCCGGTCACAATCGCCATCTCAGTGCACCCCTGGGGATGGGACCAGCATGACAGGCCCCGAGAATTGAACTCCCGGCCCCTATATCTGCCTAAGCAGGTGCTTTAATCTGCTGAGCTATTTGGCCAGCCCTTGTGTCTCCTGATACTAACTTTGCAAAAGTAGAAATAAACGCCCCTACTATTGTTCTTTGGGTCTATTGCCAGTCAGGCAAACGGACCTGTGCCTCAACCCAGCTCTTATCTCCTGTCTATTTCTTTCTTCACTCATGCTTCCATTTCTTCGCAGGGTACACTGAGACACCAGTGGGTCCCTACACCTACTTCCTCCCAATAGGCCCCATTCTCTGAACTCTTAGTAGATTAATCCATCATTACGGTAGTGCCTTCATAAGCTCATCATCTCTCCAGGGGCCTCTTAATCTAGCTAAGTGGGAAATCAAGCTCAACCATCTCAGGTGTTGTTGCCTGGTATCACGGAGGAAGACTCTTGTTCTCTGGGAGCCCAGAAACTGATGTGAATTGTGAAGCAATACAAGAAGCCTGACCGAAGAGCAGCTTTCCACTTGAAAGGATGAGTGAACTAGCTGGCAAGGTTATCAGGACAGGGTCCAGGGGCGCAATGCAGGCCTTGTCCAGCCCAGATGATGCTCTCGGTGACCGCACTGGGACTCTGGGATCCCAGGACCAGAGTTCAGGAATAGAAGGTAGGACACTTCTTGGATTCATGGTGGGCAAAAAGCAGCTGCTCCTGTAGCCCACCAGCTCTGAGGCTGCCCCTGGGTATGACAGAATGCTGACTCAGTTAAGACCTAAAGTGCTCAGCAACATTTTATTGAAGCTACTTCAGAAAATAGGCAAGCATAGAAGAGCAAGTACATTGGAAGGTTTCATTCGTCTTTGTGAATTCTGTCTTCAGATTGGCAATGTGGCAGGTGACTGTTTTGCCTCTGGAGTGCATTTTGGTCTTGAATTCATAGCAGGTGCTTGAGGGTTACAACTCTTCAGCTTAAATGCAATCTACCCATGAAGGCCAACTTCACAAAGACCTTCATTATTTCTAGGCCTTGTAGGGGCTGAGTGCCTGGGTGGGGGGCAGCCACACTGAAGGAGGTCTGATTCACTCCTTTGAGTTCAGTGTCTTGACTTTTCCTCCTGGGCTTAGGGGGCTTTGTAAAAGGGTGGTTTATGGGCAAATCCTTGCAGCACAGAAACTGCAGATTGGGAGACAGCAAAGAAAGGTGAGAGGAGGAAGAGCAGGAAACATACTGCCAGGGAGAGAAGTAAAAGAGAGACGGGGAAAGGTGGGCATTGAGAAAATGATCACAGGGGGTGGTAGAGGATGGCAGGAAAAGAAAGGGAGGTGAAGAAGCAAGCAGACAGGAAAACACAGGGAAGAGAAAAAGGCCCGGGCTGGGAACTTTATATGGAAGGAGCAGTCTCATGGGGAAATTCTTCCTGCAAGCCCACAGAGTCCCCTTTTGCTGGTGCATATTCTGCAGGCATTTTGGGCTGAGTTGCCTTCCCCCATCCCCCATGACTCTGCCTCCCACTTCCTCATCATTAAGGCGTCCTAACATTGGCTTAAATGAGGCAGATTCAAGGAATCTGGCTGTGAAGAATTATTGAATGCAGCTGCAAGTCAAGAAAAACCTTTGGTTTCTTGATAAAATTAAGCCATTGCAGTATGAATAATCAAGAGTTGGTAGCATTTTAAAGTGTTAGTTTCTCACTTGAATATTCTGCAGGTGAGAGTTGTCAGGAGAATTGGCTGGGGCCCTTGACAGGGACAAGAAAAGAAGAGGATAGGTGGTGTGTATGGCAGGGTGTGAATTGTGTACTCTGCTTGTGGGAAAAAGCAACACATGGACACTCTGGCCTAAACTGTGTTTGACATCTTTGGGCCACCAGGGTCAATTCTAAGGTCTCCATAAAGGACTGAGCAAGAGGAATTGTCCTGTGGTTGCAGTGGGTCTGGGTCAGATGGAGGAGGAAGACCCCATCCAGCCCCTACTACCTAATTTCAAAGTGCTAATCCAGGTCTTCATTTAGAGTCCCTGAACCGGAGTGGGTTGGAATAGGCCCTGGTGGATCTGACATCAGAAGTGGGTGGGTTCTCTTTGTGGAGAGCTATCGAGAGGCAGAGGGATGAACAGAGACACCTAAGCATTCCCCAGCCACTTGCTGTTCCTGTGCCTTCTGCTTTAGATAATGTGCATGGCATGTGGGCAAAACATCAGGTCTTAGCATTGGAAAGCTGCAGACCTGGGAGGCAGCTGAGGTGGGCAGTGCTTAACTCCTGTAGCTCTTCTTGGTGGATGAGGTCCTAGAGATGATGCGCATGCTGGAACTAGTACCACTGAGGCTGCGGCCGCTGGTGGAACTGAAACCACTGCTTCCAGAGCCACTGTAGCAGAGACCACCACTGAAGCCACCACCATAGCCACCCCCACCCATAGAGAGGCCACTGCCCCCACTGTAGCCTGTGCCACCAGAGGAAGAGACCACAGCTGTGAAGAGAAGATATGGGGATGTTAGGAGGGTTCTGAGATTTCCACGACACCCTCCCTATCTTCCCAGGGCCTGTTTCCTCCCATGTGCCTTGTTCCAGGTACCCCTTCTCCGGAGCCTCATGAACAGTGGGAGGCTCATGGGCCTAGATGCACCACACCTACTACAAAATGAACCACAGTGTGAGCCTCTGTACAGGTGTGGTTTCAAGGCACTTTCACAGCTATGACCACCTTTATCTCAATAGACTGGAGAGGGCACCGATGTGACGATGACCCCATTTCATAGAGGAAAAGATGGATGTGCAATGAGATAAATGACATCTTCAGGGTCACACCTGCCTTGGAGCTTTTGGCTACGTCTCTTTCTCCTGTCCACTAGGAAGCTCTCATGTTAGATGCACTATGAAGCCTCAGACTCAAGGAAAGCAACACAGACATTGCTAGAATCACGAAGGTCACAGACAGAACCTCCAGTATCGGAATCCGTTATTGTCTGCCCCATTGCTTTCAGTGACTTCCCAGTGGGGAGGCAGCACTCTACTGTAGGATGTGCTGCCATTGCTCCGCCCACCTGCAGGTCTGCTCTTCCCTGTGAAGTGCTCCTGCTCCTTGTGCCAGGTGTTTGCAGGCTCCCTCAGCCTCTCTCTTGTGGCCTTATCCA